AGGCGAAAAAGGACGAGCGCGCGCGGGCGGTGTCAACACAACCGGAACAAAGTAAAAAGTACCTGTCAAGCCAAAACGGGAAGTAGTGCCCGTTTGACGTTGCCTGATATTTTGATCAATTTGTCGTTCAGTACACGTCGCCTTTACGTCAAGTTGTGTAACGCAGCCTATAATTCCCAGTTATTACGCGTTTAGCGCGTCGTTAAAGACGGGGCTCGGAGCGCGTTACCTCGTAAGCCCTCCAATACAAGGTACCCGACGACACAATTAGACCTACTCGTATAGTTGGTTCTAGATCACCTGCCGAGTATTCCTCATAGTATGTAGTCTGTGGGTAATTTTTTGTGTATTGAGTCACACATGACTCTCTGGGCAAGACGTCGAGTCCTCCTACAAATGGGCGGCTGTCCACCGAGACGAAAATCATACTTCAGTTTACAGCAGAAACTCTTACTTTGTGTCTGAGGGTCCAGGGTCATTACTGAAGTTTGGAGATAAGCCTTTAGACCGGTCACTCTTCAGAGACAGACAGCCGGAGACTGAAGGTGTGTCCTCTTCCTCATCTTTTAAATCACTCATCTTCTCCAGTCTGAACAAACACACACACACACACACACACACACACACACACACACACACACACACACACACACACACACACACACACACACACACACACACACACACACACACACACACACTACCTGTAGCTGTAAAGGCACATGTCAGCGTGAGGCGTCCTGCAGGGAGACGGGCTGTGCTCTCGCTTCACCTTGCTCAGAGGAGGTCCATGAAACATCACTGAAACACATCAAATAAATATTCACTGCGGCTCAAATGTTAGTGTGAAACCAGAGGAAAGAAAGCCTCCTATATGAATCAGAATTGTTTATTCAGCCCTGGGAGGAATTGGGTTTAATGAAAGCTGCTTACTTTAGAATAAAACACAATAAAAAGTGTAAAATATGTATATAAACATAGGATTTAGTGCTAAAAAAATTTGCTATAAAAATATAATTAAAAAAGTGTCTACGCTAGATTTCAGATTAAAAATGTGTAATGGAAAAATAAAATATAATTTAAAGAGCGCATATTAACATGGGATATTACACTGAAAATGTTCAATAAAGAAACAAATAAAATAGAATACAAATTACGTATATAGACATAGGATGTTAAAGTAAAAATATTCAGTTAAACGTGCACATTGTACCACAATAAATGAAAACAATAAATATGTGAAAATGTGTAAATTGGTGTATTAGTGTTATTAAAGATAGTAATAATGATACCAGATTGTTGCTTACAATGCGCACAGTACACCCTATCTCAGTTTTCCAGGACTCTTCACCATGTTTCCACGTATAATCAATCTGTCAGATTTATTGTCCGTCCGGGAGTCGCAGTAATAAATACAGTGCTACGTGTTTGGCAGCTGCACTAAATGTTTCATTCCCGCATAGAGAGCTCTTATCTGTGACATCTTTATTTTTAAAAAGGTGCAAGTGGAGCCATTTCCTGCACCATGTGACCGCCATCATGTGCCTGGCACAGATGCACTGATGTTCTGTCTGAGGGTCAAACACTGAGCTGCCAGGGAACACTGATAGTAGGAATAATTAACAGACAAATCAGTGCACTAATGAGGTATTTGTATTCAGTATTTAAATGCAATGCAACTTACTTGTACTACGATATATGGGCGATGTTTATCTGACCGTTGTAGTTGTTTACAGATTCAGATTAAGTGCTAAAACATCTGATCTGGTTCAAATAGGGTTGATTGTATGATCTGACACAACCAATAAATCCAACATAGAAATACACCTTACATGTATTAGCAGAATGGCAAAAGACTTTAATGGTTATTCTGCTATTTAAAGTCAAATTTAAGTACTTTCTTTAGATAAGATTTCTATACATTTCACGATTTTTGTATGAGAGGAGGAGATACTCACACTTATTGGACTGGAAGTCTGGGACAAACTGCTCGTCATCGGGAACCTGAGCTGTAAGAGAGGGAAGACACGGTGTGAAAGGACTTCTCGTCAGGTAAATATGAGAAACCAGTAAAAGAGACAAATGAAGCTCAGCGTAAGTTCAACCAGGAAGAACGTCTCTACTCTTCATTTACTATTCCGATGTATACTCTCTTTCCTCTCAATAAGTGATCGGGGGCGTCACTCTCCAGCTTAACCAATCACTTCGCTCTATTCCCAAGAGCCTATCATAGCCAAACCTTTTAAGTCTGCTCTCTCCCCTCTGACAGCTGTCATTTCAGGTGACTCTATGCAACCCTCCTCCACCCCTTTTCACCTCCTGTCCCTCTGAATCCAGGGTCAAGCTAAGCCCCTCCCCTTCAGAACGACCCCAACTATCCATTCACCACCACCAGGGTCAAGCTAAGCCCCTCCCCTTCAGACCGAACCCAACTATCCATTCACCACCACCAGGGTCAAGCTAAGCCCCTCCCCTTCAGACCCGACCCAACTATCCATTCACCACCACCAGGGTCAAGCTAAGCCCCTCCCCTTCAGACCGAACCCCACTATCCATTCACCACCACCAGGGTCAAGCTAAGCCCCTCCCCTTCAAACCAAACCCAACCATCCCATTCACCACCACCAGGGTCAAGCTAAGCCCCTCCCCTTCAGACCCAACCCAACTATCCATTCACCACCACCAGGGTCAAGCTAAGCCCCTCCCCTTCAGACAAAACCCAACTATCCATTCACCACCACCAGGGTCAAGCTAAGCCCCTCCCCTTCAGACCGACCCCAACTATCCATTCACCACCACCAGGGTCAAGCTAAGCCCCTCCCCTTCAGACGAAACCCAACTATCCATTCACCACCACCAGGGTCAAGCTAAGCCCCTCCCCTTCAGACGAAACCCAACTATCCATTCACCACCACCAGGGTCAAGCTAAGCCCCTCCCCTTCAGACCGACCCCAACCATCCATTTACCACCACCAGGGTCAAGCTAAGCCCCTCCCCTTCAGACCGAACCCAACTATCCATTCACCACCACCAGGGGGTTTCATCGGATCGGTTCTCCCCTCCCGAATGATACTTCCTGCACAACGGGGCCAAAATCACCATTACATTAATTTGTGTATCTCTGCAATAAATATGTATTCTTACATCAAATCCGTCTCTCCTGATTGAAGTATTGTTAAACTATTCTTTGCAAGACATAACTAAATACAACTAACTTTGAACTTCTTAAAAGTAATGTATAAATATGCACAAATGAGGCTTAATCTAATGCTAACTTTCTGAGAACACATGAGAATTCTGCAGAGGTAAATAGACAACAAAATAAACGTCTCTGCCTGTAGTGTCTTGCCTTTTGAAGGGGTGACACAACACTGCTTTAATCAGAGAAGTTCATACAGTTTTTGATGGAGAAGTTGTGTGTTTTGTGTCATGATTCTTGCAGCTCTCACCTTCTGCGATCCATATTTCCTGGAGCTGGATCAGGTCTTGAAAGAGCTCTGAAAGTCAGTTATAAGCCAAAATGAATATTGACGTTTCCAAAGTGACAACATGTTTCCGAATCTCTCTCTCTCTCCTACTGTGTTGTGTAACCACTGACGCAGTAAACACTTTGACATGTGGACATGATGAGCCCACCTTCTGTGTCCTGAGCCAGCTCTGTATCCATGAACTTCCTCTTCCTGTCGCTGAAACATCTCTCTGCTCCCTCTACGGGACATTTCTACATTTAAAAAGAAAAAAGAAAAACTGTTTAGTCAACATAAATCATAAAGTTAAACATCAGAGAAGTGAAGCAGAGGACTCACACTCTCAGGGACCACAAAGGGGACCTGCTGGTCGTAGAAGCCGTCCATGTTGCAGGAGTCTTCACCCTGGAACAATAAGGGAATGGGAGGAAATATTAGAGACATTTTAGGGCACAATTAGCTTGATCATGGGAGGCGTGTGGTGCAGTGGGTTGTGCGTTGGTGTTGGTGTTGGGATGAGGGAATCACAGGTTCAAACCCCACTGCGGTCAGCATGTCGTTGTGTCCCTGAGACACTTCACCCCAAATTGCTCGTGTGGGGATTGCCCACAGTATTGAGTATGAAAGTTGCTTTGGATAAAAGCGTCTAACAATTGACATGTCATGTAATGTAATGTAATCATCTCTACCAATGTACCTCTTTACATCCTGGCCCCACAGCAGCAGGATTTACAGTGGCTATAAAAGCCTTGTTGTCATTACAGCGTTATGCAACTTCCTGTATGTTAAATCATGTAGACGCGCCGCAGAAGGAAATACGCTTCAAACATGTTCGAGTAGTGAGGCTGGTTTTAAGGGGATACACAGAAAGCAGCTGTATGGTGCAATACAAATGTGATGCCTTGTTTTCTCCTTCTGTCTGTCTGTCTGTACTGTAGTGACCTTACCATGTATTTACAAAGTGGTATCGCTGAATATGTGGTTTGAGTAAATGCTTTCTTTACGTCACAAAAAGGAATGATACAAGCATCAGCAAAAGCATGAGAAATTGTTTTTTTAGTGGTTAAAATGACATAATATACTCAGGTGAAGCTTTCCAGTCTGCAGGGGATTAGTTGGAGGCAACAGATCAAATTATAGGAAGATATTTTAAGGAATAGTCTCACATTTTGGGGAAATATCCTGAAGATTACATGACACATGATTTCTTTTTCGATTATATACAGGCTTTAAATGATAAATATGACCATTTGTGATGAAACATTTAATCATTCTCTGACACTTGCCATCTTTTTCTGAGCTTTTAACCATATTTGTACAGTTTTAACAAGTTAATGGAGCTGATGCAAGTGTCAACACATAATGAGGACAGTGAAATCTGGTTTAAAGCTGATGAAAAGTAGAGCTTTGAGTTGAGATTGATTTCACAAGGTCAGGATACTTTAAAAGGATTGCCGTTACTAATCTTTCTCTAACCAAACACGAGTTAAAGTCAGTATTATAATAGGAGATAGAAGTTCTCAAACCCTTATCTTTTAACTGTTAGATGGTGATTACCTCATACGGAAGTCACACGTCCTTTGATGAATGCAGAGGGCTTCCGTAGGTAAACAACACCTCGCTACAACTGCTATTGTTCTTATAACAGGGCGTTAGAAACAAGTCAAAAGGTCAATTTGAAGTGTACTCCATTTGCTTTAATGACATCAACACCAAGATAAACTACATGACTTTGGTTCGTGGTGTTTTCAACCTGACTTTAAATAAAACGAATTGTAAAGATTTGTGAATGGAGTTTTTGGAGTGACGCAAGGCATCGTGAGACCTCCTTGTTTTTCTCAATGAAGTGAAACTTGAGCCTTTGCAGAAGAAGGGGGTGGGGGGGTGAAGGGGGGGCTAACCATTGAGAAAATGTACAACAGAGCACAGATAAATATTCACGATGCTAACAGACCATAAAGACAGCTGCTGCAGACAGAAATGCCACCCTGCAGTGCTGACAGATGCGGGAAAAATGGACGCAATGTTGCCTTTGATTTTCCCAGAAAATGGCGTTCGCCTCTTAGCTCGTATCTGCTCCACACAGCAATGATGCAAGAAAACAACGCGAAAACAACTCCAAGCATCTAGTTCGTACAACGTGATGTAGTAGTAATAACGCAGCACTCACTTGATATCTGAAGTTTGTCGTCGGTGTTTTAAAAACCAAGATTTCCTCTTCCCTACATCCCCTGCAGCTCTTCGGATAAAAACTCGGCTGTGGATTTTTCTCAATGAAGAGGTCTGATCTCTGGAACTAAACCCCGAGCCCAGCACTGCCTTCCCATTGGCTAGAACACCACGTCACTCAAAGGAATAGCCAATCATCTTCAAGACTGCTCTGACGTCCGTCCCTGTTTTTTGTTTTTTATGAATGGCTGCTGTTCATTCATGTCTCCACAGATCTCTTAAAGAGCCAGAGCTGCCATTCCTTAAAAAGCAGGCTAATAAATACATAAAATAATAAAACAAGATTAACTATTTTAGATAACATTACTAAGATTATTTAGGTATTCTTTTAGACTACCTTAATTAGTTTGAGAATAAACCATAAAAGATCTTACCTAATATATTAAATTATACAGTTTTATGATATTAATTTGGTCATTCATAACTTAAAGCAACATGCAAATCATATTGTACTTAGTTTACCCAAAATGTATTGGCAAATATGACACAATTGCAATTTAATGTGAATTTCATAATCATTTAGAGTCCAGATTCCTTTACAAAACGAGTACAAACACTATTACTTCTCAAGATAATATGATTTATTATCACAAAGATTGGATTTGAGAGAATCTGAAGGTGCCGTTGTCCTTTAAAACTGTACATAACATTAATAATCAGAACTCTTTTGTCCGGACAAGAAATACTGTACTTCCTCTCGTTTTGCTGCAGCATGTTTGGTTTAATCCACGTCACACATGACTGCTCCAAAGTGCATTCATCTCAGTGGGTGGCGAAGCAGTCCCTCCACTCTTAATACCGCTTTGATCTCTTTCAACTTCATTACCATTCGCTGCAGAGCGATCACGAAGCACGCCACCTGACTATGTATTAAGTCTGGTATTTAGTGTATTCATAGGCCAGCAGTCAGCATGTTATACAGTGGTTAACAGTCTAAAAAACATTGCTGTGGTAGGAATTTATATCCAAAAATGGACAAAGAAGACGGAAGGTTATATTTTGCTGCATTGTGGTTGAGTCACAAAACTGTCAATCATCTTAACTCTCTAGAAAGTACGTCTGTCTGCAGCTTATGATTGTACAGGACTGCACGAGAACACTTTGAATTAGTTCATTAAAGCACAATCAACATAGCAAAACACATATTTCTGCAGTATTCTTTAAACTATTTTGCATGATCTCATTGTTGATGTAATTACATTTGCAACTAAAACCCCATTAGTACTTCTTTTATCCAAATAAAGAAGTCCAGTTTTTCGACTTTTGTCCAAATGACCTCTACGGCTGGACTTTATTTTTTGCAGTGGTTGTTTGCGTTCTCAGAAACTGCTTGATCAGCGACAGTGGATGCCAGAATGGATCTGTGTGTGTGTGTGTGTGTGTGTGTGTGTGTGTGTGTGTGTGTGTGTGTGTGTGTGTGTGTGTGTGTGTGTGTGTGTGTGTGTGTGATAAAAAGTTCCAGTCCAATTGTCAGCTGAGCTCAGCAGCTCTGTTACTGATTTGCTGCGTCTCCTGTTTACACGTCCGCCACTCTGTACACACAACATCAGATTTGTATTCATCCGCTCTGACAGATCTCCAGATATGATCGAACATATCCTGTGTCAGGAAATGATGACAAACTGCACTCTTACACCGTCTTATCAAATGTGTCTGCAGGTTTTGATTATGTAGTTTCTTTAATCCTTTAATGAAGATCTATTACCTGAATGCTGTCTGTATCTTTTTATGATTGTACTTTCTGACTTCCTTTTTGGCCACAATTATTTATTGCATTTTATAAACGCTGCACGTGGCCATAATGCAAAACTGATACATGATGTGAAATGTGAGAAAAGAAACGGAAAACATAATCCAAATTTTGATTTATCTTATTACAGCTTTCATTCATAAATATAATAAGTATCATAATCGTCATACCCCTCAAAAAAAGAGTCTTAAAAAGGAAGCTTATGTTAGCTCTAAACATCTGCTTATCAAAGGTCAATGGAGCTTTAGCGCCACTAGATGGCTCTGAAGCCTCCGTCCAGCACTGATGTTAAATGACTACTCAATTATATATACAAGTTAATCTAGCAGTAACAATTACCCAATACAATTAGAGTTTAAAACTCACATTTTCCTGATTTAACTTTTGATATTTTAAGCATTGTTGGTTGTTTTTAATGCATAACTATTTTTGTATTTTCAGTAATCCAATTTACATGTGAACAGAGTAACTAATAGATATCACTATGAAGTGTCTACAGTTCATTAATGTACCGTATTAAATGTTTAAATATGCAAACAAGACATTATCTGATGCTAACCTTGTTTAATTTAGGAGGAATCCACAGATGTAGATGGACTACATAGTAAAATAAATTCCTAAATGTGTATTTTGGATTGTTTTCTTATCACAAGTCTGAAATAAGACATGTCATTAAAGCATAAGAGTCTCAAAACATTAATTTTGCCTGTAGTGTCTCGCCTTACGTAAATGATCTCAATGCATCTTCCACCACTAGGCCATAAGGTCTGCAGATGATTGTTAACTAAATCAAATCAGAATGTTAATGCGTTAAGTTGTTGTTGTTGTTGTTGTTGTTGTTGTTGTTGTTGTTGTTGTTGTTGTTATTGTTGTTATTCAGATGTTAAGTGGTGTTTTTCCAGAAGCTGTGCAGCACTTTTACAGCAGGTCAGAGGTCAAACTATCTATTGCACAGACGTAATGTAACGTACCTAATGAAGCTCAAACAGACAAAGCCAGTGAAAGTGGCTGCTGTCCAACGCCCTGACTCCGTTGTGTCTGTGCTCCATCTAAAGAACAATAGCTGCTGACATACCATCGCTCCCTGCTGGCGAACCCTCGTGAATCATCAGAGGGATTTTGCAGCCGGGTGCTCATCAGCTACTAGAAAAACCAGCAAAAAAGTGACATGAAGTCGTGCAAAACAAGTCTAATGTCAGTGAGATATAGAGTACATCATATACATGTCCTTCAGAGGATGCATCATGATGCTTTTGGTCACCAATAACCTTCCCAAGTTTCTGCCTATAAACAAGGAATATAAACATTTTAGGGATGCACAATTTGTATTTTTTTCGTTTGTTAAAGCAACATTATGTAGCTATTTGACCTTCAGCTTCAAAACTGTAAAAACGTTGACGCTAAACTGACTTCAAATAAGTAGAATAATGCCTTTGTCTTTACATTTGATCGTAACTAATGTAATCATAAGAAATGCACGTGTAATCTTACAGCTGTTGATATTCACAACAGCTGTGTATAAGAATGAAACCCACTAAAATACAATTTTCTGTGTATTTGTCCCATTATCATTCACCATCCCGATAAATAAAACCACGCCCATCCATTCGGCTGCAGTTTGACTTCCAATAAGTAGAATATTGACTTCACAGGAGGATGGACCCGATGAGGTCATACTGTTACATCCAGGTGTAAAAAATGTATATTAAAACACGTCTTTTCTGAAATAACTAAAGGACAAGTTAAACAAGAAAGTAGAAAGAAAGTGAGGTGATAGAAAACTATTTCTGCTAAAAAAGTTAGCATTGATTGAGAGCAGTGTTGGGACTAACGCGTTACTGTAACGCAACTACTTTTTGCGGTAACTAATAGCGTTACTAGTTACATATTCCCATTAAGTAACGCCGTTATAGTTACTGTGATTTAAATGGGTGCGTTATTGCGTTACATCCTGTGATGGAACTGAAACAAATCTCACTGCGGATGTAATTTACAGGCGAATACAGCGATGTCCTCTCACAGCACCATGGAAAAGTGAAAGTAACCAGAGAGGAGTGATGATTGGTTAATGCGGGGTAACATTTCAAGCACCTAACTAATGTACATGGGGCTATAAAACTAGTCACCAAAGACCCCACCGTCTCAACCACCGGCAGTGACCCAGATGGAGCAACACCATCTAAACAGCCAAAAAACGATTCTTTCAAATCGCCATGCACATGTCACCCACAGTCAACTAAATACATTGCCAGGTTATGTTGTTGAGGACATTCTGCCCATCGCAACGTTCAAGTCCGTTGCCTTCAGATAACTAGTCAGCAAAAAACAACACAAAAACTTGTATTTGTATTGTTATTATTTTAAAGTAAAGTAAAGTAACTTGTTACTAGTTACTTTTATAATTTAGTAACTAAAAAAGTAACTAGTTACTTTTTGAGAGCAGTAACTATAACTATTACTAGTTACTTTTTAAAAGTAACTTGCCCAACACTGATTGAGAGTCAGACCTAAACATTTCACACTGCTGTAACTTTTATTCATGTATCTTGGCTTTTAAATGTCATTTCATAATATGTTTCTTAATGTCTTTTTGTAAAGCACTTTGAATTGCCTTGTGTTGAAATGTACTATATAAATACACTTGCCTTGCCTTCTGTATGTTGTCTATTTGTTCCATTATCATTTACAATCCCAATAACTCAAACCACTCCCATCCATTCTGCTGCTGCAGTTTGCTTTGCTTTTATTAAGTTAACTCAGGGGTAACGACTGGAGGAAG